CCCTTACCTCAGCACTCTTGCGCATAGGAAGCGTATCGAGCTAGTTAAAAGTCCAACACCCTCACGTGAAAATAACATGGAAGATTTGGGTTACACTTCGGCAAAACCGCTTTGGTGGCGTAGCCGCTTATGAGTTGGTACAGTCCTTGCCTTTACATGACAGTATCACGGCATTTAGATGGCCTTTTCGGAGAGATAATCAACAAACACCATGAACCTACTGCGGTCGTACGAATCGTTGGAATACCGAAAACAAAGTAGAGACTTAAGACTCTCAAACGTCACGTGGAACTGGCAAGAAATTTAATGGAGCTTTCGAGGGTGGAGACGATTTTTAAAGATGATATATGCTGCTGAACGGAATTACTTGTCTGAGTCGGTTAAATGATGCGCTTTATTCGTTTATCATGGATAGGAAATTTCATTGCAACATCGTAGCAAGATGTTCATCCTTGTTTATTTCTTCGCTATATTGCTTTGCTACGTTTGATAGTTCACAATGTAACACTTTTCTATTATCTATACAAGCTTATATATACTGTTCTAGTACCGTCAATCGTTGCAGCAAAAAAGTGATCTCAATGTTGCTCGAAATGCTAAACTGTCAAGTACCGCAAGCAAAACCTCAAGCGTAACACCATGTACGAGCCCGTGCAGCTGAAGCAGCTCACACCTCCAAGTACCTCTACATCCCAACTCTCTTTTCTAAAGCGCGCACTATTTGTACTGGTCTTTATCGCTTTAGGTGTGACGGCTGGCTTGATTGTGATTCGCTTTGTACGCAGTAACGACTTCACTCTCGTAGTCCAATGGTTGCAAGTCCACGAGGCGTTGGGAGCTGCGCTTTACGTGTGTAGTTTTACATGCTTTGTGGTACTCTGCTTTCCATCCACTGTCTTCGAATTGCTGGCCGGCTACATCTTTGGCTTGTGGCTGGGGCTTCTGCTGGCCACCACTGGCAAACTCTTGGGTTCCGTACTCTCGTACGTTATTGGGCGCTATATGTGTCGTCATCGTGTACATTCCTACATGGCGCGTGGCCATCCAGCATTGCAAGGTTTTCAGAGTTTGTTGCGCAAGCGTCAGATTTTAATTGTATTTCTTACACGTGTGGCGTTTTTCCCTATTGCAATCAAGAACTACGGACTCAGTGTGCTGGACGTGCGTTTTTCCGTGTATTTTGCAGCAGCATTGCTTACTGGTCTTCCATTTTCATTTATTTGGGTTTACTCAGGCCATGCTGTAGAGAACGTTGCAGCGCTATTGGTCAGCCCTACCGCATCTAGACACAGCACAGAGGGAATCTTACTGCTTGTCGGGGCAGGAAGCGCTTTGCTATTGCTATTTATGGTGGGATATTATTCCCGCAAATATGTGCTAGAATTGGCGAAAGAGGAACAGGATGAGAAAACGATGGCAGTTGACGCAACGAAGCGCAAGGTTGAAGTCATGACTTATGTAAATACGGTGTAGCGTGCTTTTGTTTATTTCTACTATTAGCATTAATTGTAATAATACTTGTAGATCTAAAGTACTACATATGTGTATTACCAATGCTGGTGCCATCACTGCTGGTTCCAAAAAATATTGTCCTACTCTTTTCATTTTCATGGACGACACAAATTACAGAAGTTCGAGGGTAACTCATAATGAAGGAACTTTGATCGTGCAAGCAGAATAACGAGAGGGACTTGTATATGAAAGAATCCAACTCACAGGAATCACAGTTTTGGAAATGTGCATTTTCCATTCAGATTCGATAGTGTCTAGTCGATTAAACCAGAATTGTTGAAATCATGACAAGTTTTCAACCGAATGAACAGATGAACAAACGAAAATCTAGTAATTCATTCAAGGCAAAACCATTATCGACTGCAGATTTCAGCTCGTCTATCTCAAGTAGGTCAAGCGAGCCGATGCCCATACTTGAGTCTTTTTTTATCGATACGAATCCAAAGCACTATCTTCGTCATCAACGCCACACTTGTGGCTCACGCAATCGTAGAACAACAACAAGAAACGGTGTTCAGGACTCGCCTTTCAAACCTCATCGTCCGGTTGGTGCTGTTCCGAAAATCCATGTTAGTTTTCGTCATCTATCATTGGCTGTGGATGGCTTTGTATCGCCGGTTGCAGCAGATCAAGCTGCTTTAGGTCAAACAGGGCGAGAGACTCTGGCTGCTAAGCAACTTCCTACGATCACAAACCATGTCCGTGGAGTATTTGCTGGCCTCACAGCTCGTAAAAGTATCATACGTCGTCAGATTCTCAAAAATGTGACTGGAGCCTTCACGCCAGGCTCCATGACGCTTATACTCGGACGCTCTGGATCGGGCAAGTCGGTTTTGCTCAAACTTCTCAGCGGACGATTAGCTGTGTCAAACAAGACAATGACTTTGCATGGTGAAATTGCGTATAGCGGTCTATCTTATCACGACCTAAGGGCACAACTTGCGCGATGTATCGCGTATGTTCCTCAACAAGACTCACATCTTCCAATGATGACGGTAAAGGAAACGCTAGACTTTGCATTTGAATGTTGTGCTGTCCGTGTTGACGCGAAACCTGTTGGCGCAGTATACAAATCTTCTGCGTTAGAATTTCCATTCGCGCTGCCAATGACGTATCTTTGCGAAGAGCGAGACCCTATTTCTGTGACCCGAGAGCTTGGTTTAACACGGTGCCAAGATACCATAATGGGTGATGAGCGCGTTCGTGGAGTATCTGGAGGAGAAAAAAAGCGAGTGACAACAGGCGAGATGACTTTTGGCCCGCATGCAGTGGCGATGATGGATGACATAACAATGGGGCTTGATAGCTCAGCTGCTTATGATGTAGTAAACGCACAGCGCCGGATGGCTAAAAAGCAACTACAGACAGTTGTGATTGCACTACAGCAACCAGCGCCTGAAATTCTAGCACTTTTCGATAACGTTCTTCTACTTGCGGACGGTGAAGTATTATACCATGGCCCTCGATGCCATGTCCAGGCTTACTTTGAGGCTCTGGGCTTTGTTTGTCCTCCAGAGCGTGACCTAACAGAATTTTTGTGCGACTTAGCCTCTCCGCAGCAGATTCAGTACGAACACTCACGTGCACCTATGCCAGGAAGACGCCGACATCCTCGTCAAGCAAATGAGTTTGCAGACTTGTGGATCATGTCGCCAATGTACGAAGCAATGATCGAGGAGCTGGATAAAGCTGAATTTGGCACGGAGGTGTACAGTTTACCGGATCATCAAGACGGCGATCGAGAGCTTGTTTTGGATCAAAAAGCACTGCTGCAGTTGCCTGCGTTCCGACATAGCTTTGTACGAAGCACGTGGACAGTAGTCAAACGTCAACTTCGACTATTTGTACGTAACCAAGTCTTCTTAGTGGGTCGATTGTTGTTGGATCTACTCGTCGGCTTGATGGTGGGATCTGTTCACTACAGCATGGATCTTGCGGACGTCCACTTAACATTAGGTGTCACCTTTTCCTGTGCTTTGTTTCTTGGTCTTGGTCAATCAGCGATCTTGTCACCACTTTTTGACGCACGCAAAGTATTCTACAAGCATCGCAGCGCCAACTTCTATCGCACATCCAGCTACGTATTGGCTTCGAGTTTATCTCAATTTCCGCTTGCAGTTACAGAAGCCATCATCTTTAGCTCACTAGTCTATTGGATGGGCGGACTCGTTGCCACCTGGGAAAACTTTCTTGTATTCTTGGTGTACATGCTTCTAACTGTTTTAGTCTTTGTTGGCGAATACTTTTTTCTCTCTGCTGCGTGCTCGTCGTTATTAGTGGCTCAACCAGCGTCTACATTAGTACTTCTGATCTGGGTTCTTTCTGCCGGCTTTGCCGTCTCACGTGAGCAGCTTCCGTGGGCAATGCGGTGGATTTATTGGAGCAATCCACTTGCTTGGACTACACGTGGGATTCTAGTAAGTCAGTATCGCAGTAGTCAATTGGATGTCTGCGTATATGGTGGCATTGATTACTGCAAGAAATTTGAAAATCAGACTTTCGGAACTTATTCTCTCGGGTTGTATGAGGTTCCGGACGATCCTAAGTGGGTCATGCTAGGTATTGTGTTTCTTGGTATGGTGTACATCGTTTCCATGTGGTCATCGTACATTATGCTGGAATACTATAGTCATGAATCCTCCCTAGCGTTGCCGCCAGAACTACCGGGTTCGCTTACGAATCCGAAGATCACAAGACAACAAAAGGATTCGTACGCCATATTGTCCACACCACAAAGAGACGAGTTTTACGACGTGGCTGGATTTCCGGATCGCAATGAGATTGTCGTGGTAGAAGAAGATGGTGGTCTGAACAACTCATTTTACTTATCACAAGGAGTCCCAACAATGATCGACGATGTTGAAGTATGCTTAACGCCTCGATGGAATGTGCCACCCGTGACGATTGCTTTCCAAGATTTGAGATACAAAATAACAGTTCCCGCAACAGAAGCTGAAGAACTTGCTGGGCAACGTTGTGTAGGAGGAGCCCAAGATCATCATCATGCAGGTAAAAGTACCGAAAATAAAACTCGCGAGCTCTTGAAAGGGGTCACCGCCTACGCACTACCCGGTACGATGACGGCACTCATGGGCTCTAGTGGCGCTGGAAAAACAACCTTATTGGACGTGCTCGCAGGTCGCAAACGTGGAAAGATAGGCAGCAAGCAAAAAAAAGGCGTGCCTTCTTTTCAAGGCCGCGTGCTGTTGAACGGCGTAGATGCCACCGAAGTTGCAGTGCGTCGATGTACCGGGTATTGTGAGCAAATAGATGTGCACTCTGATGGATCTACTTTCCGTGAAGCTTTACAATTTTCCGCATATCTTCGTCAAAGCGACAAGGTGGCACCAGGGCGGATCGAAGAGATTGTCACGGAATGTTTAGAATTGCTCGGACTTAGCAATGTAGCTGATCAGCTCATTCGTGGCAGCACCTGTGAGCAGCTCAAGCGATTGACGCTAGGAGTGGAACTGGTAGCGCAATCGAGCGTGCTTTTTCTGGATGAACCTACTAGCGGTCTTGATGCAAGCGCGGCTAAGTCACTTATGGATGGCGTACGCAGGGTAGCCGATTCAGGGCGTACAGTCATTTGTACCATTCATCAACCATCAACAGAAGTATTCCTGTTGTTCGACCGTCTTTTATTATTGCAACGGGGAGGCGAAACTGTGTACTTCGGCGAGCTAGGACACAAAGGTGAGACGGTAGTTAACTATTTCCAACAATTATCTCTACCACACAGTTTGCCGACTTTTAAATGCGGAGACAACCCAGCCACGTGGGTGCTAGATGCAATCGGAGCTGGTTTTGAGAAAGCCAAGCATTTTTCTACGATTCCGACGACGGTGACACAGTCGTCACATACTGCGACGAAAAATTCTCGAATAGATGCCTCTTTGAATTCTTCAATGAATTCTGAATGCTCGCACCAACATCAAGATGTAATGTTTGACTTTGCTGCAGCATATCGATCTAGTCGCCTTAAGCAGCTTCTGGATGCCAAGCAAGCTATTCCTGGGGTGTTCATGCCGTCGGACCGCTTAGCGCCTGTGACATTCGCACAGCGTCGAGCTGCAAGCAATACTTTACAATTCATCATGCTGATGCGCCGGTTCTTGCGGCTTTATTGGCGCACGCCACTCTACTCACTCACAAGAATGGTGACTGCGTTAGTTCTTGGCTTTATGTTTGGGATCGTATACTCGGGTAATATTGATTTCTCGACGTACCAGGGGGCAAACGGTGCCGTGGGGCTCATCTTCTTTTCGACGTGCTTTTTAGGCGTCAGCTCTTACGTACAAATTCTACCGCTTGCATATAATGAGCGTGGACCATTTTATCGCGAACGCGACTCTGAAACGTACAGCGCTTTCTGGTACTTTGTGGCATCATCTTTAGTGGAGATACCATATGCTGCTGTCTCCTCTACGATCTTTGTCAGTGTGTTTTATCCGATGACAGGCTTCTCTGAACATGGCGACGTCACTGTAGCTGTAATATATTGGATGGTTCTGACTATACACATTCTATTCCAGACATATTTTGGGCAATTCTTTACGTTTGCTATGCCGACCGTTGAGCTTGCTGCAGTATGGGGTGCACTCTTTGACTCGATCTTTCTCATGTTTATGGGTTACAATCCGCCGGCTTCGAGCATTCCGAATGAATACAAATGGTTGTCCCAACTCGTGCCACATCGCTACACGTTTGAAATGCTCACTGCGCTCGTTCTCGGGGACTGTTCCGATAACCAGTTGCAGCAAATTGCAGAGGCTGCAACTATGAACGCGACAATCGACGTTTCGAGCTACCCACTGGGATGCCAACTGCTTAGAGATGCACCGCCCGCTGTAGCCAATATACCTTTGTCCTTGTATATTGACGAAGTGTTTAATGCACGTCGTTTGGACATGAACTTCTCGTTAGCTGTCGTCATGGGGCTTCTTCTTTTTATGCGTCTTGTAACCTTGGTTGTCATGCGTATCATCGATTTTAAGCGACGATAAGGGTTAATAATATATGGATAGTACGGATGTAAAATCTCGCGACAACGCTCTGTCTATACATAAATTTATTTTATACACCTAAAAACTCTATAACTAAGAAGATAGTCATGCTCAAAACATTTTAAGAAAAGCTACTTCAAATGTCAAATTTTCCTCAATTTAGTTGCTGCATATACATAGAAAGCATACTATCTACCTCCATTGTAATTTGAATGATAAATTATGACCTGAACCATGCACCAAGTACGTAAATGATAGAAAGAGAAAAAATTAGGCAGTGAAATTAAAAATCCATTATTTTTTGCAATTATTACATCTTTGAAAAGGCTCCGACGTGTTATTAGCAACGTCTGCTATGACACAATTGACAATACTTCACTGGTCGTAATGTAAAGACTAAGGATGTCTGTCTGGTCAAAACTATTATACTCGACTTGTCTTTTATTCAAGTATGGTACGATTTAAGGAATTTAACAATCGAATTAGGGCCTTCGGGATGTCAAGTACTGGTATATGATGTCCCATTCCTTCCAAGAGTTTCGATATAAATTTTTTGACTGTGCATAACTTTGCGATTCCAGACTTGTAGAAATTTACTTTTGGAAAGCGTGTTTTCTCTAGCGAACAATACACGCATCGCTCTGTTTTATCTAATATTTATTGGAATTGAAGAGTGTTGGAAAAGACAAGTTTAAGCATAAAATGGCTAGCTCTATTGGCACTGACGCTACATTAGTATAGTGGAACTATCACGCAAATACATAAAATGGCACTGTGCAAAAATGAGGTCTCAGTCGAGTTTTACACTAAATATGTTGCTTGGTGACGACAAATTCTAAAGCATTACTCGCGCACAAAATCCGTCCATGTTCAGAATTCCGATGCTACGAATGCTGTCATCCCACTTTCCAAACTCTCATTTTCTGGTGTGTAGCTCCACCGTGATAGCACCATTCTACATCAAATGAATGTCGGAGTGTATGCCATTGGAACAAGGGTTGCTCCCATCGTGGCCACCACAGTAGCAATTGCAACACTTCTTACATGTGTGTTACTTGCTAAATCCAAGAATATCTATCTCGGTGGACTAGCATGGCCTTATTTCTCAGACGTAGGCAGAGGTGACATTGAAAATTCGACTTGATATCTTCAAAGCAAGATGCTAAGTGTTTGTTGTATTGTTTATAGATTCTCCAGGTTACATTGTGTTCTGTGTAGGGCTTTCGATCGTGACAGTCGCTCTTATCGTAACGTGGATTGTCAATCACAAATTTCAAGTTGAATTTATTGAGATGGAAAGTCAAGGGAACGTAGAGAAAGTATACGGCAGATTTACTCGGAAGCATTGTCAAGCTGTGCGATTATTTGGCGTGTTATCTGCTTTTGGACTACCGGTGCTTGCATTTTTTAGCACGACAAGTTACCCAAAAATTCACAAGTATGCGGCTTACTGGTTCTTTGCATTAGAGGCTATCGCGTTAGTAGTTAATGTACGTTTTCTTATTGTTCCTTGTGGTACATATACTAAGTCAGCGACTGATGCAGACATATGTGAGCTATAAGCTCGCCCATATGACTAACAGAGGGAAATCGTACTCTACGTCCGAGTCGGATGAACAGTCACTGTCAACAAACTTGTTTAATTCATTTGAGTGGTCGACATTAGGCACCAAGCGCACATTCTGCATCCAAATCTTTTGCACGGTGATATTCTTGATCGGATTTCTTCTCTATATTCCGGTCGGTCTGGCACTGATTGACAAATTTCAGCGGCTCAGCATCGATGATGTACGTTTATAAATTTGTCAAACTGATCTTGATGTTATATCCGATGATTAAGCATTTGATCTAGTGCTTGAATCTTGATCTAGGTGATAGATACTGCACTGACACTATGAAGCTCAACGATGAGGAAACCGTCTTATGGAACTATGGTGCGCTCCGGATTGTAGCCACTAAATT